TGCTGCAGCAGCAGCAGCAGCAGCAGCAGCACCTGCTAACGCCGCAGCAGAGGAGGGTTCTTCTGCGTGCTTCAGCAGAGGCCAGGTGCTGCTGGCTGGCGTTGCTGGGGTCACCGATACCCTCAACCGCATGCAGCGGCTTTGCTTCGCTCGTTGCTGCAGCAGCAACAGCCACGGCCGCGGCGGCTACAAAGAAGCTCATCTAGAAGTGCACGAAAAGTCGTGCACAGACAGGTGCATCAGCAAACACATGCAAACGCATGCACTCGTGGGGCTGCACCTGGCTGACATATACTCTTCTCTCTCGCTGCAGGCAGAGAACGATCCCGCTGCTGCAGCAGCAGCAGCAGCAGCAGCAGCAACAGCAGCAGCAAAGCAAACAACAGCAGGAGAAACAGCGTCTTATAAGCCGTTTTCTTTAGCATTTTTGTGATCAAAGGATTCTGAATTTCGGGTGTATGTACACCTCACCATGATGGCGCTGCAGCAGGCTCCCCGTTTTGTGCGTTGGGGTGTATACGCAGCTCCTCGTGTAGCTTTATCCTCTTGCCGTTTGTTTTCTGTTTCTGTATTATCTTTGTCTGGTCTGCGGTGTACATACAGCTCATCTGCTGCTCTGCCTGCTGCTGGTTCTCTCTCAAGCTCCATAACGGCTGTAAGTGCTGCTGCTGCTGCAGCAGTTGCTGCTGCTCGCCGCAGCAGAGCAGCACAAGGCAGCAAGCTGCTGCAGCAGCGTCCGCGGGGGTCGCAGCAGCCACGTATCCGCCGAGTGTATCGTATGGGCCCTGAGGAGCTGCTGCAGTGCATGCGTTGCTGCAGCAGCAAGCAGCTGCTGCAGCGGTCTCTATGGGAGGCGTTTATGTATCGTGTTTGTGTTCTTAGTGGCTGTCTTTCTGCTGCTCAGCTGGTGCAGGTTATCCGTATATTTGCTGCAGCAAGAAAACGTGAGTTTTGTTTTATTAATTTTATTTTAGATAATATACGCATGCAGCAGCAGCGGCTGAGCTTCTCTGAGTCTGTGTTGCTGCTGTCTGCTCTGCGGCGGCTGCAGCTGCAGGATGAGCTGCTGTTTACTGCTCTTCTCTCCCAGTGTATACACACCATCAGCAGCACCACTCCTCCTCCTCTTCTTGCTTTGTTAGCTTATACTGCCGTCAAACACGAACAGCAGCAGCAGCAGCAGCAGCAGCAACAGCAGC